AGAAGGCTTGATGTCAAACACACTTCAGCTGTAATATCCTGTGCTAGAGTTTAAAGGATTGCAGGCATACTCAACAATTCCCTGCCTTTCAAAATGGCCACTTTAGGGCCCATAGAATTTTTTTTGAAACATCAACTGTTTTCTCCTTTGAAGGCTCCTTAAAGCAGTATTATGTTGACATAAATAAAATGACCTATGGTACTTATAATGGAAGTAAACGGAAAACTTGTTACCGTATCCTAATTATTTTGCTTGAGAAGGGGGCAAATGGCAAGTTCACTGTTCTTTTAGTTTGCATTGGTGTAAAAAAAAAGCCCAATCTTTTAATTGACCAAATATCAGATGCAGTAAAGAGCTTGCTACAGCCCAAATGTTAGCAGTCTAACATGCTTTACTCAAATGGCGAACACCGGAATGTTAAAAAGTATACATATACATTGTGAGCATGTTAGCGTGCTTACGTTAGCATTTAGCTGATAGCCCCCTGTGCCTAAGCACAGCCTCATAGAGCCGGTCTAACATGGCTCTAAGTCTTGTTGTATAGCGTGGAAATCATTAAGCAGACACTTAAAAGTTGCTTGTGTTTTGTAATCCATTACAGTGATCATCAGGTTTGCATTATTGTTTTTGTTAAGAATAGCATCATTATGTGATAATTCAACCCAAAGTCAGTCTTGACATTGATTGTATTTCATTAATATAATAATGTAACACTGGTAAGCATTAATGCAGACTTGGCGTTCACTGTATTGGAACATTAAGACGTGATGCACAGTTCAAGAATGCGTCAGGAGTCAGCTAATTGATTGGAACAACTGGAAAAAGTTAGAAAAAATAACACCCATAACTCTTAAACTGTATCGCCTGTATCTTAAATTTGTCGGCATGAATTTAAAATTGTTAATCTCTAGTCAAAGACTGAAACTTGTTCCTGCTCTGTCTTTCTGTTGTAACACTTTAGCCCTCCTCCAGCTGAACTGTATGCTCACCTCTATACACACACAGTCACACCATCTCTCTCTTCAACACACACACACACACACACACACACACACACTTTATGATTCATTTTCTGCAGAACCAGCTGAATGATTTGTCAATTAAGCAAACCCAACCTCAAATATATCCCTCTGGGAGCCTTATTGACTCATTATTGAAACAGTTTTTACCGTGTATAGTTTAAAAACATTTTTTTGGCTTAGCTTAACAACGGTCAGTGGTTCCATTGAAATTCAAATCGACAAGTAAACACAACCACGTCTCAAGCTTATATAAGCCATTATAAGAGAGTTGACAGTAGAGTGATAACAGGGAATGAGGTGGAGAAAGATGTCCACAGACCGACTTGCCTTAAAACCCAGAGGCCAGAGTAATAAATCAGATTTTAAAAAGATATGTTCACCACACAGCAATTTCATCAACTGTTTACACTTTGCTGTGGTTGTCTGGTGGGATTGGTGCTTCGGGCTGTTTTGTATGCCAGCTGTGTTGGCTGAAGCACACGGGCGACACTCGGCCTCATAGTTTTTTATCGAATCATCGGCATGTTTCCTCTGGCAGACGAGTTTTGCGTTGGAGCCAACAGATTTTTCACATTATCTCACTCCCAGTCAGCTGAATTTACTGTACGATAAAGCTCTTCATCTTTCCCTTTTTCTCTTTCCTTCCTCTCCTTTTGTTTCTTTTTCTCTCTTGGCCCTTGGATGGCGCACGTCCAGACACATGCTCTTCATCTCGCTCCGAGAATCTGTCAAGATCAAGAGAATGCTGTCGCTCGGCTTTCGTCGATTTGCTGGGACATGGCTTCAAACCGCCGTTGGGTCTTGATCACTTTGTCTGCAAATTGTATCGCCCCCTCACCTCTCAAACCTACTTCATGTGTTCAAACTCCAAACCACTGAACTCCAGGGCTCAGCTCGGACCATTAAAATGAGATCAAAGGATTTAGGGGGGAAAAAAGGCACCACATAAAATTGTTTCGTTAAGAGTTATAGAATGAAACGGCCCACTTCCTTTAACCAGTGCTGTTTGGACAGGTGAGTAAAACTGCAAGCTAGGCCTCGGCCCCACGGCTACAGCCACCTCGGTCAGTTGAGCGGTTCCAATGCAAACAAGAGTCATTGTGGTTCAGGAATAAAGATAAGCAGATGAACACCAAAGTTGGGAGTCCTCAGATTCACCCTGGTGTTAAATAAATACTCAAAGATGATCCCCACACCTCTACGTGACCATTAGCTGCAGGAACGTCTCGCCAGACTTTCTTCTTCTGCTTCCCCCTCCTCCGTCGCTGTAATGGAACAGTTTACAAAAGAAATTGGCTCCTGTCATTCCTTCAGGTCAGAGACCGTCAGTGTGTGTCTGTGTGTGTGCGTGTGTGTGTGTGTGTGTGTGCAATCCTTGTGTGACTGTTTCTGTTTGAGCTGCACATTTTGTTGAACATCCAAGCTAAACATCTCTCCCACCTCAGGCTTTTTTATGTTTGGGGAGGATTTTGTTGAGCTTGTAAGGTCTTGTCCTCTTTCTTTGCTCAGTCAGCCTTGATGTGGGGGAACGAGTCATGTCATTAGATCAACAACAACTCCGAGAAAATGCTTAGGTCGGACGTTTAGTCGACCGGCATTTGTGTCGGCTCAGACTAGACGAGTGAAAACAGTGAAACTTGCATTACAAGTATATGTTATTTTGGATGCTTTTATTGTATTTGGAGGAGAGGGTCTAGATATTACCAGCATGGGTGGCCCAAAGGGAACCTGAACCTCTACCTTTGGCAGAGGGGCAATGCTCGACTCATTCTGCAAGATTCTCGGTGTTTTCACTCAGAAAGTTGCTTTCCTTTTTAGCAGTTCGCCGCCTTCTGAGCAATCAATTCTGTTTGTTTTCCTTGGATTTTAAGTCGATGAAGTTTGCTCTCATTTCAGCTACTGTTGCTCGTGTTGACTCCCCTTGGAATGCTTGTTGCTGCGGAGTTTGTTGAGAGTTTTGAATGCAGATTAAGTTCAGCATCTACAAAAGTAATTGCTGATCGACAACTCTATCATATGAGCTGTGCGACAGTAGAATTCATTATTCTTGCCTCTTTAAAGTGGAAAAATGGAAACTAGAAGATTACGAACACACAGTATTCTTCATACATTGTCCAGTCTGCCAATTAGAGCATTTAGAGTCTGGCAGCATAAAGAGCCTTGAATGACTGAGGCACGATGAGAAAATCCCTTGGCTGTGTCTACCCCCCCCCCCCGAGGCCTGGCCAAATAATTACCCCTCCGCTGCCAAGCAACAAGTCAAAAACACCTTAGGGTATAACCTCTGAGACACACAATTCTAAGGCAAATAACAATAATCACAATTGATTTCCATTTCAAGTTTTGGCCATGTAGCAGGTGCTGTTTTCCAAAGCAACTCGCAAGACGAAGGCTCAGGGTTTTGTGTATCTACAAATATCCAAATAATCAAAAAAACAATAAACGTTGTTAATAGTAATCTCATTTACTGAACAGATGTTTTCTCATCAGCCCAAGGCATGAAAAGCCTGTGAACCAGAAATTGTTCAGTCTGTGTATTATGTCTAGAGGGGGATTCTCAAACCGATTTCTTTTGAGTGTGCTGGGAACTGATACAACTAAAAGGTACGCTAGGATAACAAACTTAGCATTTAGTCTGGTTCCTGTTACCTCCCATACAAACAACTGTTTCAACCTGACAATTTCTTGCAGTCAACAATAAAAAAGGTCACATTTGTACGTTTGGCTCATCCTCAGTGGACTGCATGTCAATGGAAACTCTCCAATAAATTGAAATCCAGCTAATCCCTGTGGATAGAAAAAACGTGTTGACCTTCTGTCCAGAGAAATAGCAACACATCAATGCCGGCCAGTTCCAGTGCGTCTAATGCCGTTACATCAGTTAGTCAGCACCTAGAATAGCATTGAGTCATCCTTTATTCTAAGCAAGCCTCTTCCACTAAACAGGCCTCTAGTTTGACCACCAGTCAATTAGCTCATTTCCCATGTGTCATCTCTCTGGCTCACTCGTTAGCTAACGGATGACCAGCTGACCGGTCACATCATGCCGGATAGACCTCTCTGTTAATGCTCACACTTAATAAAAATAACACAAACACATACACGCACACAGTCTGTCCAGAGGAAATGAAGGTAGCTCCGTAGGGAGTTTTTCATAATAGTCCAGTTTTATGGAGGTTCCCCGGCGGAGACCGGTACCTATTTCCTCAGCCTTGAGGGCCTCATTCAGGATACAGGAGGGTGCTAAATTACACACCAGACCACACCACCATAGCCTCTTTCATCTCAACAGGCCCCTCATGTATAGCGCAGGCTAATTGTTTTAAGTTATTCCCTCCAGTGGCATTTACATAAACGTGATGGTCCATGTTTTTAATTAAATTTAGGTTTAAGTTTCCCCCCCCCACCAAGGTTTAGTAACAGATAAACGATGTGCTAGCTATCAATCTGTTGCTAGCTAGACAGCTAAAGTAGCATTCTAGCTGTTGATAGAAACAATGTAAGGAAAGTAATGTTCCTTCCATTAACTAAACAAAAAAACAATACTTTTTGTTAAAAGATAATTTCAACAGAAAGTGAAGTTACTGTAACAAGTTGAACAGTTGTGTTTGGTCCAGAATACATACAGCTTGTTCTTGTTTTGGAGCTAATGATGCTACCACCTGTTTTGTTTTTGGCAAAGAAAGCAATATTCTTCTTGTATGACTGCCATAACCTGTGGAAGTTAGTGTGTCTGATAGATAATTCTAGCTGAACAAATAATTTGTAACAGATATGTATACAGGAATCGTAAACTATCTTTAATCTTGGATTAAGGGTGAATGTGCTTCGCAGGTTTTATAATAGCTGTATTTTGATTAGCATTGAGCTACTTTGAGGATTTTCTTGCTTACTCGTGTTCTTATTGTTACTTCTTTCAACCATTGTATGGGGCATTTGAACTCATGATTTATATATATTTATTTGTTTTTGTCTTAGGTCTGGCAGTGTGAAGAATCACTGGGAGGAAATCTACTACTTTGTGGAGAATCTAGCTGAGAAATTCAAAAGGTAAGGGCTCCATGAACACATAGGCAAACATACATGTCAACACAATTCATCCATCAAGTATGCAGTACAAAAGGGAAAAGGGGAAAAAAACTGTATCCTGTAACATTTGGAAGTTTTAAAAAAAAGGTTTCACAACCGGACTTTAAGTCTTGGGACACTTTACTGCCTTCCTGCCTCTGTACTCTGTACTTCCTGGAGCCCAGAGCTGAAGATCACTGAAGAGAAACACATACTTTACGCAGCAGTAACCCCGGTAAAGTAAAGTAAATATCTGTCCCTACAGCAACAGCTGGCAATGTGCTTAGTCACCCAGCATGCAAGCTGATGTTTCACTGTCTTCAGTAGCTGAGCTGATGTCTGGAGTCAGTGGGGGTACCAGCAGTGACTACAGGAACAAAGATCTTCTATGTGTAGAAGCGGCCTGGTTTTTACACCCTGGGTAGACACTGCAGCTTTAAGTGTCTCAACTCAGATCTCTTTCCCCAAATGTTACTCACCTCTGACGTTTTATAATGAGTGCCAATGATGAGAAGTTCCACATGGATATTATACAGGTAGTAGTAAGTAGTACTCTTGAATGAAAATTATTTTTTAATCTTGTTTTTTTTCAATAAAATTTCCCCAGCAGCATGATTGCCCCGAATTTACAAAGTTGAATAAGCAAAATATAAACTGTATTAATACTGTGCAGCCTCTTCATGAGATAGAAAACATCTGTCTGTTGGGAGTATGTCGTCAAAGTTCATGTGATTATCAATAATTTGCATCCTTTTTAGTTTTTTTAACATCAACCATATTGATTACACATGTGTCAAACATGCAAAACCAATCTTTCAGTGAACATAAAGAGAACTCTATTGAAGCAAATGAAGATATTGTAGATATGACTGCATCCTCTTATGGCTAAAATATGAAGTATAATAATACAAACAATACAGTGCCGTGTAAAATGCAAAATTTCAACAGCTGGCCCTTTGTTTTGTCCGTACTGCTCGAAGGCCACAACAACACCTGCAGCTCTGCGGTTTGACCATAGAGAAGAACCAACCGTCCACAAAGTTTTTCACAAATATGACAGCGCTTCAAACAGCGCCAATCTGCTTTCACTTACTGTCTCTCGCAAATAATACGACACATTTTTTTACGTCAGATAGCTGTGCATGTATGTTTACAAGCACGCAATTCCTTTCTGAAGATAGAATTTCACCAACAAACAAAAACAACAAGCTTTCCCCACATCTGAGGGCTCAGCGATGTAGTTTGAATACAAACTTTTGAGTCGTGTCACGCACAGGAGGTTCGAATCGTGCTCGCAGGCACAACTCCGTGCATGGTGTCACTTGACGTCTTGGTGTGTCGGGCTGCATTCAAGACGCACTTCAGGAAAACAATATGTTGCTTTCGCAGTGTTACTGTGACCCTCACAATGTTTGTAATTAATCTCAGATGGTGTGGAACTGTTTGTATTACTTACATGTTGTGCAAGGTGGGAAAACACCAACTGGCAGCCAAATGCTCTGTGTTTGGCACCTATCGTCAATAATTGATGATAAATGATTTTTCTCACTGCACTGCCAACAATGTGGGAGGCTGAATGACAGGTGAGATGATGGGTTTTTGTGTTTTTCTTTCCTGTTCCAGTCCCATGCTGAGGATGTCCTTCATAACATTCTCCTCCAGAGCGTCCACCATCATGAAACTGACGGAAAACAGGTAAATTAAGTTCTGGCTCATACCGTCTGTTGTTTAATGTGATGAATTAACTACAACCGACTAATCCAAGCTGAGTTTTTGTTATGAATAAATGTTATTACAGCACGGAATGCTGTTGCACCAGAGTGAAAGAAGATGCTCTCTGAACTGACATGAAGCTAAAAATAAAATGGACCTGTGTCACCGTGTGACTGTTGAGAGTGTCCCCAGCTTGCATTAGTGCTCCACTGACTAAAATCAACAGTCTCAGGGGGGACTTTTGTAAAGGATAGAGACATATGTCCTTCTTCTCTGCAGAGGGGACATCAGAAAGGGGCTGAATGCTCTGAAAAATGAGATTCCTGGTGGAGACACATTCATGCACCTTGGACTGCACAGGGTAAGCCTGTGTCGAAATTCTTTTTCATGTTATTCTACACTTCTTCTTTTAGTTCAAATGTGAAGCTTTTTGGTATTTCCTGTCTTTCTCACCACGAAAAATGTCTCCTACTTTTAAAGGCAAACGAGCAGATCCACCAGGAGAACTTTGGTACGCATGAAAGAAAAAAAAAAAAAAAACTTTCCCTTATATAACTACTTCAACTACTTCATGGTCATGAATTATGTTGAGGTTACAGCATGTCTGCATGCTTCTTCCAGGCACGGCTAGCGTGATTATCGCGCTGACAGACGGAGAGCTGCAGGAACATCAGCTCATTACTGCGCAGCAAGAGGTAGCCACTTATAGCTCCGGCAGTGGATCACACGTTTTATTTGCTTGAGTGCCAGAACCCACTCGCTTTAATTGCTTGTGTCTCCCAACAGGCGGAGAGAGCCAGGTCTCTTGGAGCTATTGTGTACTGCGTCGGGGTCAAAGACTTCAACGAGACGCAGGTAACGCCAACGTAATCCATTTGTGGCAATTTTACCTTTGTGTTCCCCTAAATGTCATTCTGTCTGGTTTGAAATAAAGACCATGCATGTACAGTATACCACATGTGCTCAGGAATCCACGCTAGAGTGTATTGAGCGGCCCCTGTGCAGTTTGGCTAACCCATAATTTAAGATTTCCTGAAATCCAATCCAAGAGATTTTTTTAAGAGCTGCCTCTTAAAGCTGCCAATTTATGTACTTATTCTATGTTCTTCTCTAATTTAGCTACTTATCTCCTCCCCCCTTTTTTTCCTCCTCCCACACCTCCGTCTCCACCTCTCTCCCTCTGTAGCTGGCCACTATTGCGGACACCATCGAGCACGTGTTTCCTGTGCTGGGCGGCTTCCACTCACTCCGGGGAGTCATCGATTCGGTAAATAAACTCTTCTCCGCTCAGGGGAGCGTCCCTGTAGCTGAAGCTCACATACGGCGGACGTCCACAGCGTTCATGTATTTATCTAGAGTCTGTCAGAGCTGCCTTCAGGAAACACTCGCTCAGATATGAATGCACAGAGAACCCCGTTACTCATCAGACATCCGGTCGCTACATCGGTTTGTCCAATGCAAGAATACAAAAGCAGCACTGATTCATATCTAACTGTCAGCGTTGTAGTCGAAGATTCAACTCAAACAGGGTTTTTTTTAAACGCGTTAGGCAGAACTGTAGGTCTTTATGGACACTGGGCTCATGAAACTCATGCACATATTTAAAGAGTACAGTACAGGCAGGGTCCAAGAACAACAAGCCCCGTCTCCCGTAATGTTACAGACTTACATCTCCAAACTCCAGTGGAGTATACTGATGCGACCATAGTGTTTAAAATATGCGTTTTCAGAAGTGATACAGTGTGATTATTAAGCTCTTAACTGCCAGTCAAGTTTGATAAACCTGCATGTTACAAAGAGGCCAGCAGCCGTGTAGGAGAAGAATAGAAAATAAATGACTTTCTCTTTGTTTACCTTCCAGATCATCAAGAAGTCCTGCATTGAGATTTTGGCAGCTGAGCCGTCCAGCGTGTGTGCCGGAGGTGGGGAGCTGAAAACACACACTCGAACACACACACACACACACACACACACACACACACACTCACACAGTCGGACACAAACTGAAGTGGGTGCCAGCCTCCCATAGTTTCTTGAACTGTGTTCATTTCATTACTGCGTGCCCCGTCTCCCCTGCTCTCTCTTCAGTAATGACATTCCCAGATCATACATGAGCATCCAGGTCACTTACAGGAAATCTCTCGGGACGGGGCCCCGCCGTGGGGATAATATTATAGGCTCTCATTAACAGGGTTGGCCGTGAGAGAGTGACGGTGCGGATATTGGATTATAATGTAAAGTGGACAAAATCTTTAGTGTCCTGCCAAGAGAAAGATCATGCCAGTTAAAGGCAACATTAAATGGGCATTAAATGGCACAAATTAACAGTTAAAAGTTGCACTTTTGGAAACAGCAGAGGGACTTTTACAGCTTCTCACATCTGCTTTTGTCTTTTTTTGCAAGCAGTGCATTTTACAGAGTATTTCACGTGAAACTGAAAAGCAGTCTCTGGCCGGCTGCTCAGTTCAGTCCTGCAGGTTCAGTCTCATCTTCATGGATTTATCACTGAGTATTTTCCCTGTTACAGGCAACATCGCAACTACTGAGGTTACTGTCCAACAATGAACTCAATCGTATGCTGAGTGACTCAGTTGTGGGGTGGAAAGGTTGACTCTGCTGGCATTTTCTACTGTGTTTACTCAGATGACAAGCAAATTAGGGCTCATAAATTAAAGACACATGCCTTATTAGTTTAGATTTGGGCCTGATCTAATGTGTTTCTATTTTACTGTAACTCACTCACTAGGATGGACCGTCTGTGTATTTCTGTCTCTTGGTCATATTATTTCTGCATGTTATATTTGTTTACATAACAGGGACAATAACAAAATGTTCGGGAAAAAATGGGGAAGTATAAATATATGTACATATATACATGCACATGTCCTACATATACATTCATACATATTTAAAGTAATAAGAATATAAAAACAGAATAAAGGAGGTACTATGCATTCTTAGATTTGAGGACTGAGGCCCATATTTCCAGCAATCTCTGTCATGTACCATACATGCAGTATAAAATGTTCATTTTGCTTGCCAAAGAGTGTTCCAAAAAAAAATGTCAATTGTGCATTGTGTAACCAGAGTCTTTCCAAGTGGTGGTGAGAGGAAACGGCTTCCTCCACGCCAGGAACATCAACCAGGTGCTCTGCAGCTTCAAAATCAACGACACCGTTACAGTCAGTGAGTACACGCCTGCACTTCTGTCTCTTAATGTAACAACGTTTAGATCAGTCTCTTTATCATGTGTCAGTGCTGAATAACTTACTGGAAATATGACAGCCTCATCAGTACACAGTACATGCATGAGTGGATCCTCACCAAAGAAACCTCATCATACATCACATTTTATGGCAAGGAAATGGTCAAATTCAAATGTGCATATATCATCTTCTAAAGGTCATACAGATCAAACACTGGCTGTCTAATGTGTGTTCATAATTTACAATAATACACAGCGATGTAGATCAGACTGAGGAGTCTACTTTGTACCTTCATTGAAATGTTGTCTTTGCTTCCTAGATGAAAAGCCGGCTAGTGTAGAAGACACATTCCTGCTGTGTCCGGCTCCCGTCATCGATGAAGTTGGGAAGTAGGTGCCTCTTTTTGTTATTGATTTCACATTCATCTTTGATCATTTCATTCTTTGCCTCAGACACAGAGAAAAACACATGTATGCATACACGTGTACACGGGCACAGGCCATGAGAAGCCTGCCATACATTAGCTCTTTTTTACAATTCCCCATCCGTGGCCACATTCCTCTTTTTTCTAGATTCCAGTACGGCTTAGCAAAATGTAAGGGGCGCTCTGTAGCCGTGCCAGCACATGCAGTGTGTAAACCCTCCGTGCATCTGTGCTGCTTCTGTCCTGAATTAGAACAGAGCAGTTCAGCTCATTGTTTTTTGGTTTTATCAGCCACTTTACTGTTTTGGTTCAGTCTCACGGCTCTCATCAGTCATTTACAGCTGCAGCTGTCTTGAGTCAATGTTGTGTTTAAAGCTTGTTTGAAGCTTGCCGCCCTTCAGCGGCAAACAAATCAAATATGGCAGCTTTAAGGGCTTTTACTGGTGAATACAACACAGCGTCCAAATGTACCACACAATATAAATACCTGCACTTTTGTGTTATACATTTACTTTTCATGATTCTGGAGAATCCTCGTGCATTTAAGAGCCCAATTCCAGACGACACTGGAGGAAAGGAGGGAGGGATGTAAAAACTAAGACAACGGAGGTTGTTTTGCTCAAAACGTTCACCCCAGAGTCACACCATCAGCTGGGCCGTACTCTCTTTTTAAAGCCCAGACCGTGGTCCAACATCAACAATCCACAAACCTCTTTAACCAAAGTCTTCATGGGAAGAAAGTCCACAGAAGAGACGATTGAGTGGACGCTGGTTAAAGCCTTTCAAACTGCTTGGAGACAAAGAGTCACTTTTAGCTCCTTTTTCACACACTTTCTTGACCTGTAGCGGTATTTGTGTTGGTGATTGCATGATTCCATAATTACGCTACAAATTCCATCATTTGTATTCTCCCGACAGAAGTTACAAATCCGATTTACGGTTAATATTTGCACTGGCAGTGGTGCGGAAAGAGAGCGGATTTGATTTCCACTGCAGGGAGGAGAGATTTAAACGACCTGGACTGATGACTGTGACGCTTTAATCAATACCTCAGCAGAAGGGTCTTAAAGCTGAGGAGGGTACATCGTGTGCCTTCGCCTCCCTTAAATGTCCCATCAAGCCAGTCATCTCCTGCCTTTGTATACATTTTCTGTTCTCTCCTATCCCTAACTTATCTTTTCACCCCTCCCCCTCCCTTCTTCTCTCCACCTCTGCCTTTACTTTCGGTGCCACGGTGGCTTTTTTCTTTTCACCAACTGCTTTGCCTTGCTGGTTGTTTTCCAGCCCCCCTCTTTCTTTCTTTCTGCCCGTCTGTTTCATTTCCCCCTCTATATCTGTCTCCTTATTTGTGTCCGTCACCCAGAAACTTTCTTTCATCCCCTGTCCGTCTCCCACTCTCTTTAAACAGTCTCCCTGTCCAGTTTCGGCTGATCAAAGCCGGGTAGCAGCTTGTCCGGTCTTTCAAGTTTGCGGCCGCGCGTTTGTGTGCAGCTTCACTCTCGACAAGGTGGAAAAACCTTGTGTCTGTGTGCCTGAACCGCTCCATTAATACCCAGACAAATGAAGTTTGTTTTTGACTAATTTGCAGCCGTTTGTATCCCTTTGATACATTACCTTTGATAGCAAATTTGACCAAAAAAAACTTACTCAAAACCCAACTTTTAGCATTGCTGCAATGCTTCCTGGGCTTTTTTTGTTTTTGATTTAGATTTAGAGTTCAGCTATGCTCTCTCTGCCCCTCTGGAACGTGGCATCATGTAAGTTTGGCCAGAAAATAGGAATGCAGGCTACTTAGCGTTTGTCTTTTAAGCCAAGGATTCTTCTAATGAGCAGCAGACGAACTCTAGTGTTTTGTCTCATCTGTCCTATTCAAGTGTGCGTGTGTGTGTGTTCTTGCTTGGACCGCCTGCCGTGTCCGTTTTATTTCCTTGCCTAACAGCTGTCAGACAGAGTGCTCGGCAACTAACATTTCCTCCACTTTATCTCCTCCACATCCTCAACATCCCACTGGTCAGCTTTCTCTGGCTCATTTTCTCTTCATACCATTTTCCTAGTTTCTTTTTAAGGTCCCAGGCTTAATATATCCAGTAAAATAGGTTATTATAGTGGTAGAGCTCCATTGTTGTCCAAAAACTAATGAACCATGTGCCATCATTGCAAAGAACATGGGCCCTGTAGTTTATTGTGTCTCAATTCCACTTTTACCCGCCATAACTACTCACTAAAGAACCAAATCTGTATTAATCCACCACTGAAAATAGTCCCAGGCAAATGCTGTATTAACTCACGTTTGAGTCACTTTTGCTAAAAAATGAAAAACAAAGCGATACATTTCTGACCCAATTTTGAATAATCCTGTCTTCATTATAGCAACACATGTTCTTGAATGCCACAGACGGGGTCGGAGGTCAGAGCGTTTGTGGAGACGGACTACTAAATTATCGGTTCCTTTTCAAGAGATTTGTTGACAATAAGAAAAATAGTGAAGAATACCAGCCTCGTGCTTTTAAACTACAGCTATGAACAGATCAAACTTCCCTACAACAATATTTAGGTTGACTGCTATTCTTTGACATCATACTTAAATCTGAAGGGTGTTTTCCAGCGTTTCTTTAGCTTTAAGACTGTTTTAAAGTTTTAATCTCTTAATGCCCAGCTGTTTGTCATCAGCAAGGTACGTCTGCTGTTGATCATGAACTTCACCCTCAAACCCAGCTTCTCTCTCTCTCTCTCTCTCTCTCTCTCTCTCCCCCCCTCCTTTTTTTTTCAAACCAGAGAGACAGCTCACTGAGTCAGAGTAAAGACACGTTTATCGGTCAAATGGCCTGCTTTCCATCTGCCAGACCTCATTCACATCCACCTTGTCCTGGAACGGAGAAGAACTGGGGTTTTTTTTTTTGGGGGGGGGGGTGAAATGCTTGCCTTTTGATCAACATGTTTTGAAGAGCTGAACGAGAACAGGCTCCAAAGAGGCCACTGCAGGTCACATGCAATTCTCAGAATTGTTTTTCCCCACTCGGAGGAGGAAGGGATTCTTCAGACCATCAACAAAGACTCACGTGGTTCCAAAATAATCCTCACCTACATTTTGTCTACTCCCCCTCCTCCGGTGGAAAACATTTGTATCCGGCTCATTTGGGCTCAGCTTGCTCAATTACAAGTGACACGGACACCGTAAAACAAGAAGTCCCTCGACTCACCAAGCAGCTCATGTGTCGGACACAGTTTTCTGCTAATGTTGTCAGAACTGATCTGAGTCCAGTAAAGTTTGAAGATACAACTGAACTGTCTCTTTGTTCTTCAGCTCACAGTCTTGTGTGTTCTGTGGCTGTTTCCTGTCTCACATTCTCACTTCGATTCGGTGACGGGATTTGGTGTGAAGCCAAGTTCAAATGACATCATCCTGGTTCAAACACACTGAGCTTTAGGAGGAAACGCTTCAGGCTACATGAAGTGCTCCAATCAACGGTTGTTCTATTGTTCCATCCCAACATGAGTTCCTGAGTGTGTGTGCTTGTCTGTTGTTTTGTTTCAGGGTGATTTATCTCCAAGTGAGCATGAACGACGGTCTGTCCTTCATCAGCAGCAACGTGCACGTCACCACCACAGAGTGTGTAAGTGGCTGCCTTTTGTCCCCTGTTCATGCATTTAGCCTCATCAGTCACTCACTCATGTAGATAAAAATTGTATTGCATGTGGTTTCCCTCTGCCTCTGCTGTCCCTTCCAACTTCCTAGAAGTGTGTTGCTTTGCTCTCTGCAGTGAGGTTCCCTTACCCCCTTTACCTCTTTCATCTTCCCCTTTCTCAATTTTGTTATTTTTCCTCTTTTTTTTTTTCGGGACCCAATCCACAGGAGTTTGTAGTAGCGATCTGCCCAAAAAGAGCTCCTCTGAACCCTCAGGAGGCAAAAAGGTTAGGAAAGCAGGTTCATGACTGAGGCTTGTGCAAAGCGTTATTCCCTCAGTTGGAGCGACTCAATGGCGATACTCTGAGACTCTTGGAGAGCCCCAGGTGTGCGAATGAATATAACTGTCAGCGTGAAGCAGGGTGGAGCTTCATTCTCTATAAAAACAAGATTAAACAAGATGCAATTCAAGAAAATTTAAAGCAATTTAATAAAACATATGGAACATATGGACCGGAGCCACCGCAGATTCCCACCCAGCCGAAAAGAAACTCGCTCTCTGAAGCTGTTCTCCCTCGGCCCTTGTGACATCACATCCATGGAAACACGATGAATTCAAACGGCTGTGCTGTGGTTCGTGATATACAGAGCTCAATTAGAGCGTAGCAATTAGCTGCTTCTCGCCACTAAACTAAACCACGCAGGCTGAAGTCGCAGGCTTGAGGGGACACGACGAGTCGGTGAAGTTGTGATGGGGGTCGGCCTTGTGCAACAAACAATGCGAGCCCCTCCCCAAAGTCTCCCAAAGCGCCACAGCTTTAGCCTTTGTAGTTAGTGCACAAAATGTGCCCGTATAGCATGATAAAACACACTCGTGTGTGTGCAGATGTGGTCACTGTTTGCGGTCCGCTGAACGCTGTTGCGTCACAAACTCTGCTCGTCGTCTGTCGAGAGTCAAAGAAAACTTGCTGATTTGGGAAATTTCTGAGAGATGATGACTTAGTGACTTCTCTACGACGGACCCCACTGCCGATCAGATAAATCCCCCCCGCCCTCGTCCTTGCCGCAAGACAGATAGGGGAAAGTCTATCCACATGTGATCCTCATCTGTGGTCTGTAATGGGAGCCACGTTTGGCTCAAAGTGAGCAAAGCAACTGATGGATTCCTTCAGCGATCACACAGCGTACACTTACCACTGTCGTAGAGGAGAAAAACAAGAAACGTGAATATTTACACTGGCAGAAGTGATGGAGAAAGCACTAGGACTATTACAACATCCTCCTGCAACTCGAGTTTCATTCCCACTACTCTGGTGCTCCTTTTATAATTATTGTATATTATCTTACTTTAACAAGTTGTTCTCTTCCCTCTTCTGCTACTCTGGTACGAGCAGTGCAGGGAAGTCTGCTCCACACGGTTGTAGTTCAAAATCCCCATCAGGCACGCTGGCGGAGGAAGTGGTGCTGTAACGTTCTGATGTCGCATGTGTTTTCCTCTCCAGTTCGACGGCACCATCCTCCTGATCACGCTGCTGGTGTTGTTCCTGCTGCTGGCCCTGCTCTTCATGTGGTGGTTCTGGCCTCTCTGCTGCACAGTGGTGAGAAAACGTAAACTACGCTCAGGAAGTGGTCGATTTTGAGAAGAAAAAAAACACTTAAATTACAGTTATCCAGAGCTTCAAAGAGGTTTGCCTGGACTCCAAAGGGGGCATTAAGCAGCTTAGGGGGCCCTTACAAAAACAACACACGGACCTTTAGGAGGTCCTCTACTCATCGATGTCATATCTCTTTTTGTTCCACAGGTGATCAAAGAACCGCCTCCTCCACCTCCTCCTGAGCCTGTGAGTAAAAAGACACACACACACACACATATATACCCACCAGGTCTAATAGAGAATGTGTGTCTGATACGTATAGTATAGTATAAAAAAGCTACAATGAATTAAACAAATAAAAATGTTGTAGAGTTGATTGATTTGAGACCTAGCGTTGCAAAAGTGCGTTAGCTAAGGCGGTCTCAAACGTCAGTTGCCAGATCTCATGAGAGTTTTGTTGCTGAGACAGAGAAAGATCATTTACTCCAGATTTGTCTGTCTGAAACAAATTTTGTGTGAGAAAGTTCGAGAGATATGTGGCTCGTGAATATGGGTCCAGTATTTACTTTGGTGACCGTGGACCTAAGGAATGGGTCATAATCCATGTTCATGTTCATTTCTCCCATTGGAGTTAATAGGGACCTGCCCATAGTCTCGTAAAGGTAAAAAAAAAAAAGCCACGTGACACAGATATAGAAAGCTGACTCTCAGTGAACCGTCTCCAGCCTCCGAATCTGTGTGTTAAAAAGTATATAAGAGAGGAAATAAGTCCGTTTTTGTGTAATTATTCGTGATTTAGGAGAGTTCAGATGATGAAGACGGCCTGCCCAAGAAGAAATGGCCCACTGTGGATGCCTCTTATTACGGAGGAAGAGGAATCGGAGGAATCAAGAGGATGGAGGTGACAAGATGACCAAAATGCGTGACACTAACAATCATGATTGAATCTACAACTCAAAACAACAGAGTGGAAGCAGACCACTGTAGATGACTTTGCCTTCTTCTGTTGGTGTGTGTATTCATGTACTGTGTGCTGTCTGTAGGTGCGTTGGGGAGGGAAGGGCTCGACCGAGGAGGGGGCTAAGCTGGAGAAGCCGAAGAACGCCGTGGTGAAAATGCCGGAGCAGGAGTACGAGCCCTTCGAGCCCAAACCCAAGAAACCTCACAACAAGAAGGCGCCTCAGGACCGGAAGTGGTACACACCTATCCGGGTAAACGCACACTCAGTTTCAGACTTATCAAGCAGAAGAGCCACTCAGCCGTCCTGTAACAAAATGTCTGCTTTTCAGAAACACAAAAATCCTGCCTCACTTATAGTTTGACCACTGCCCGTTTCAAATAACTGCAGGCAGCAGAACTTTCTCCGCCCGCAGAGACGCCTGAACTCCTTCAACCAACGTTAAAACATGAAAAGCACCACGAGTGGGGCTGCAAAGTTTTCACAAGACAGCGGGGAGGAATAAAGCCTGTTCTGGTCATATTTGTGTATAATTAGTTGCATAAGCACAACATTCTCCACCTATCAATGTGCACACATAGCCCAAGTGATATAACGTATTCTCCAGACAGAGAGACATTATTAAAACTGGGCGTCAGTGCTGTTGGTGCTTTAATCCTTCACTACAATGCAGCTCTGTGTAGCAACACTGGCCTTTCATACAGTAGCCACGCTGACTGTTATCTGTAGACACTGCTACCTTACAGCTGTATGATGACACAGGCCTACAAACACCACTGCAGTGATTCACAGGGGAATTTGACACCGCTCATACACCACAGTCAGTGAAGGAAGAAGGTGAATTCATACACTGACTAGTCACTGTGTGTTGGGTGTAGTTGGCCCCTACATATGAAGATAACAGACAAAACCGCACAGACATGGAATAGGGAAACAAACAAGTTAGTTTATTCCCAATACTCAATACTATTGTGCTGTAAACAAAATACATTACATTGCAATTACAGTCCTCTAACTACTTACTCTCCAAAGGTGACCTCCATTGTTGTGCAAACCGAAGAGCAAACCTATAAATCCTATTTCTAGTGTTCCTGCTATGATTTCTAAGCAATCGAATTGGTTACAGGGTTTTTTTTGATTGCAGTAATTGAATATGTGTGTTTTTGAATTTCATACTTAGTGTAAAGCAGACAATGTACTCAATGTTTATCATACCTGGTCAATAGATGAGGCTATATGAGTTTGTGCTTTTTAATAACTATGTCACAATGTCTTGACAATAGCTAAAAAAGATGTAGTTATTTCTAGGTAGTTTAAGATATTCACTTGCTTCTTCTCAAGCACGTGCCACTGAGTGCACTGTCTTGGTCCAATCAAATGACAGCAGGCGCTTCCACCTTAATGTTCGGAAGTATAGAATCTAAACAAACTGTTTTGTCCTTTTCCTCCCTGGCAGACCGTTGCAGTAGTGATGACTGTTAACAGTTAACTGCTTGATTTGTGGCAGCGGAGGAATTGATTGACGGGGAATTAAGGATCATGTCTAAAGTTAAGCAGACATGAACCAAAATATGGCGAAGTGACTAATCAGCACAGTTTCAACCAGAGAGGAAGGAACTAATCAGCAGAATCAGCTGCTGTAGTGTTTGTTTGGGATTCAAACCTGCAGACTCTCGGCTTGACGGCGCACTGCTGAGGACCACAGACCAAATGTCCGCTGATACACTAGAAACCGTTTTATTGGGATTTGATTACGTCACGGATTGTGTGCGAGGGTTTCGGGGTCCAGGTGTGGCCAGCTGTTAAACCACTCCCCTCTGTCCTGTTCAGGGTAAACTGGATGCTATCTGGGCTCTGTTTCGCCGCGGGTACGACCAGGTCTCCCTGATGAGACCCCAGCCCGGGGATCATGTGAGTAGCTCAGCGGTATTTCATTTCATCAAATGCTTTTACACACACACACACACTCGCATTCACTTCCTCTGTTCCTTCACGTTCTGCTTCAAGTTCATCCCTCCTGCAGTGTTTTATACCTCTGATGACCCATATTTTTCCCCTTTCTTTCCTTTCTTTTTTCTTGAGTTTGTTGGGTAAATTAAATAAAAAATATATTTCTTATCTTTTGGCTCATAATAAGGGAGATGCCCGGACTCATATTTCAATCTATGGTGCTAAGCTACTTAGCTGTTTTTTTTTATGTAACCTGAAAACAATGATTGAAAGTAACGGTGGGTGAGGTCACTACTTTAAGTGCTAATAATCCATCCTTGGGTAAAAAAGTTTATCTTAGATGGATAAAAATAAAAAAAAACAGCATTATGTTCCAAACTCGCTTAGTTTTAAAAGTCTTCTAGTGTATCTACGGTCTCAAAATGCTCCAGTCATCTGAACCCTTTATTCATCCCGTTCCCTCTTCCTCCATCTGTCTCGCTAACACCTCAGCTGGCTCGTCTCCATCCCGTTGAGCCGACGCGCCTGCTTCACATTAGACGCCATAAATCGGATAAAAAAGCAGAACCACAGCTCGCAACCAGGCACATCCTTGTAGCTCAATGGGAGTGTTTTCTGACGGGTTCGTGCCTATGAGATGGTCAAAAATCCCCCCCATCTCCTCATATCAGCCACATGGGTTAGTTTTAATGCCTGTAGCCTCTGTGTTAAAAAACTCCCCAGATAAGAGTTTGGTTTGAATGTGGAGACAAGACGGGAGGTCACTGAGTGCACACAGCTCTCTAGGGATGTTTAAATCCCTCTGACACATTCAGAAAAGACAGTTCATGTTTTAATGTGTTCTGGAGATTCTTTATAATTTCCAACTTCACTGGTTTTGATGGGCACTTTGTAATTCAGTGGTACATATAAATGAGGAGTATAAATTCGGCTGCTTGGTTTGTAGACGCGCTAGCGGCGTGTTTATTTAGCAAATGATGCTAAAGCCTAATCTGCATGGTCTGCATGGTTCGGCATGGTTCGGCACGGCTCTACTCAACTCGCTTGGAATCGTTGTTTTTGGGGTTTTCTATGAGCAAAAGTTGTGGATAGAACCCGGTACTTCTTTGGTACCACCTTTGGTCAAAGTTCCAAGCGAGCGGAGCCACTACGAGAAGACGGAGTTGAAACGCTCTGACCACGGATTCGTCAGAGAGGATCGTCATCAGCAGCCGCAAGTGTTTTTTATTCGATTTATTTTTAAATGGCAGCCCTTAAAACTACGGTTTAAGGGCTGCCACTCCTGTTTGGTCGCTGTTTAAAGGATCCATCGAGTGTTGTTTAGGATGATTTCACCTCAGTATGGCGGCTGGCTAACAATCCCGCCTACAGGTAACCATCTAGCGTGGAAAAGACATTTTAAAAAGAGCCGGTAACTAAAGGGAGTTGAATCGAGCTGAAATGAGGCATAACGCACTAAAATTAGATCGTGAACAGGGTTAACTTTATGCCTGTTAAACATCAGCATGTTGGCATTATCAATGTGGGCATGTTAGCATGCTGACTTTAGCCTCGCAGAGCTGCTAGCGTGGCTGTAGACTCAGTCTGCAATAACGCGGTTCTCACTTCTTCATCCGCTCCTCTTCTCTTCCTCCCGTTTTCACTCTTTCCTGCCCTTCCCCAATCTGTTCTTCACCTTTTCTCTCCCTGCTCTCCACAGCCGTCTCTCCCGCTGATCAGGCCCCGTCCCCAGCACAAGTTAAAATCGTGCCTTGTTAGCAGAAGATTTCCAGTGATTTCTTTTTTTTTCTTTTATTATTATTTTATGGGAATTCCACATTTAAGAGTGTTTTCTTCGCACTGAAACGGGAACAGAGACAGAATTTGCTTTTAGCTTTCTTTGAAACAAATGAGATAGAAAACAATGACCGTTACAGCTCACGATTACATCTTCACCAAAGCAGATTGGCAGTCAGATAAAAAGAGATTTGGGATTGGATTTTCTTAGTCAACAAAATGTTCTCTTATCCAGAGAAGCTTTTAGGGATGTCTGCATGTGTAAGCTCTGCATGACGCAACGCTTACTCTCTTTCCACTCAAATGATGTCGCCTCCTCAAGTCATTTGCGGTTTCTAACGATGCGGTAGAAACATCTCCCAGGCCAGCAGGCTGGCTCACTTCCAGGTACTGTAATGTTTTATTTCAAGGCCAAAGTGGAGTGGAAACAAGCATGGGACCCTTTTTGTGTTACCTTTGGTGTTAAATTACCTGCCGCGGTCCCACCCTGTAACGGACCTTTTAGAGCAAAGTCTCACACTCCAAAGCTGGCAGACCTTCAAATGCAGTGGCGGGCCGTCAGTGCCTGCAAGGCCTTCTCTGCTGGCCTAAACAGAATCACAAAGCTATATCTATTTTATAATTTAATAATTTTTCTTAAATACACTACATGTATTAAAATTTATAAAAATATTTTTCCCATTATCTTATTTTCTCATTGCACAGCTACTATCTTCCTCAGTTGCTCTGCTTCCAGTGCAGCTTGTGTTAAGTAGAGCTTTTATCCAATCAGATTTCACCTCTGTGTCTCTAGGTAAGAAGAGAGACCCAGGCCTGCAGACGGAGGCCTGCATCCATTTGCAGTTTAAGTGAATGGGGACGATATTGTTGATTGTCATAGTGTTCAACCAATCAGATCTTTAGTTTGACATGTTGGGCATATTCTTTGACATGTCAGAGCCTGCTCTCCGGCCTATAATGACGTCAGCATTAGTGCAGCTCAGTGTCTGCCGCAAGGTGCAGAGTGCGCTGTGATTGGTCAGTGGGCGAGCACGTGACTATTGTGAAACGACGCTTAACAGCAGAGGCATGTCGGGTAGCAAATCACATCACGTGATGCAGCTCAGCCAATCAAATATGGGCATTCTGCCTGAGTGAGATGCACCACGACACAGGGGACTGAGACGAGAAAGACACTGAAGAGCAGTACGTACAATGTTCAAGTTGTGAAAGTAAAATCATAAGACGATCTCTTTGGGCCATGACTTGTCATTAAGGAATGATGGTGGGTCCCACAGCCAGACCAGCTGAGAACCTCTGTCCTCCATGAGCGCAGAAAACATAATATTTTCCTGAATATAAGCTTCTGCATTTTCCAGATGCTCTAGTACTATTCAAACATATTGCAAGTCTCGTACCGAACGTTACGTACATAGTTAGTCTTAGAAACTGATAATATCTGTGGCGCCATCATGTGGTTATAAGGTGGTATTTCAGCTGCAGGACAACAGTGAAGGCCTAGGTATAAAATGCACGGCCCGCCACTGCTCAAATGAACAGGAATGCTCGCTCTGTACACGAGGCCGAGTTGACCGATTCTTCATCGGTCGTTCTGTTGCCGTACTGCGTTTTTCATTGCCATGCCAGCAGCTGACTGTCGCCCTTGACACCGGCCCGGCTACAGTACTGCATCGTGTAGTAATGAAGTTAGTTCTTGCTGATGAATCCAATGTCAAGAAAACAATTGATCTAATACTGTTCATATACTGTAACGATTACACACACACACTTTTTCTTTCTTCCAGCAATGAACTCAACAACCCCTCCTCTTGTTTGCTCAGTATAGGCTCAGCATGATTCAGAGCGGAGGGGTTTCGTCTGTGTGTGTGTGTGTGTGTGTGTGCGTGTGTGTGTGTGTGTGTGTGTGTGTGTGTGTGTGTGTGAGGCCTAGAGAGTCTCATGGTTTGGCTCACATAGAAAAGTTAGTCACATAGTTTTGTGCTTTTGTGCATTTAGCTTGCGTGTGTGTGTGTGTGTGTTTGTGGGTGTGTACACATTGACAGGAGTTAGCCATTATGAGAGTGTGTTTGTGTGTGTGTATGTGTGTGTGTGTGTGTGTCACCAAACCACATTCATTACACTGACGTCAGAGAGTACAGTATGAGGTAGAGCTAGTCCACAATCAAGTCTGTCTCTCTCTGTCTCTCTCTCTCTCTCTGTCTGTCTGTCTGTCTGTGTGTGTCTCTCTCTCTCTCTCTCTCTCTCTCTCTCTCTCTCTCTCTCTCTCTCTCTCTCTCATAAACACAACCCTCCCCTGGGAATTATATAGCTGGCTAAAGGACATGAGGTAATACCTAGCGAATGCCAGGGCTGTCTCCACCAACCGACCATATCTCTCACACACACACACACACACACACGTTTTGCCCAGGCCTAGACAATTTTATGACCTTGGTAAGACTGTAGACGGTGGAGGAGGTCAGTGAGGAAGAACAAGCCAGTTTAATCCAGGAAAATGTTCATAGATTCAAACTGCAGCTGGGCGCTAACAGAACAACGTACATGAAGCTAGGTTTTGGGGCATTTGTTTTATATGCCCTTTACATGCAATTTAACATTTCTAACATTTCATTGCATTCTCTCAGTATCACCTGCAATGAGGCTTACACGCATTTAAAGGTTGAAAAGGAAAAGGTGACGGCAACACCTGGGAGTCACTTGCTTACATTATCTAAGGAAAAGCTCGACACATGCCACTCTCATATCTGTATACGCTAAAACACGTAGCCACCACCACCAGCCAGTTAGCTTAGCCTAGCATTAGTCACCAGGTGAAAAAGAAAAAAAAACTGATTATTCGTTCGTTTCTCAATAAAGCCTGCCAGGGATGGAGCCGAAGCGCAGCTGCAGTTTAGATAATTTGTGCATGTTGCCCAAAGAAAGCAGCCTCTACTCATCTCCTCTCCGTGGGTATTTCCATGAGGCAAGAAAACAGTTTAAAGAATTTGAGAACATCCTCATCCAGGCGTGGTGACAGACCAGAAACTGGTGGTCCTTTGTGCCTTTACGTGACCATCCGTATGTGTTAGAGAGGAGTGTGCGGTAGATCTGGAGATGTTCAGCCAAATGGAAGAGGACAATAGTGGTTGGGGGGTGATCTGCTGTAGCTCAACAGTTAGTTCGTGCTTCTTCTCCATAGACATTTCCGTGTACGTATAAAGCTTATAATAAAGACACAGGTGCGAGAGGGTTTTTTGTTGCTGTACTCATTCCACACAGCTTCATGAGTGACATCAATTTCCCCCATTTTCCACTGAATAAAACCAAGGTCCTCTGGCTCCAATCACTGGTTATTAGCAGATTAACATGACTTCACTCCACTCTGGCTGCTAACCGCATTGCAACTCCGGAGCGAGTTGAGTTACTATGGCGACCTCTGGGAACTCTGGTGAAGCTTGTGGTTCGTGTAATATTTTACGAGCCACTCAGGAGTGAAACCAATTCATTTGTTTTACACTCTGATAAGTCAAACTTACACTGTTAACATTTTTACAACTTGACTGCTACCTTTTGTGTGGGGGCGACAAAGCGGGGATTTGAGTGTAATCTGGAACACCAGCTGGCCATGCACACACACACACACACACAGTCCCACAGACACCTACACACACACACAGAGCAATGACTGTACCATGGTCATGTGGTCCACTGATGTCACTGCCTTATTCGCCCAGATGTGCTTCAGATTAGACACCTGTGTGTGTGTGTGTGTGTGTGTGTGTGTGTGTGTGTGTGTGCGTGTGTGCGCAATTTGACTAAAACTGTTTTTAAATCCAACCTATGATGTCACACATATATACGTTATGTACTTTCAACTTCTATTGTTTTATTTGCAATCCCTTTTAAATCCCCAACTGAGTCAGAAAATGTTCATGTATGTTTTATATATTATCATTGGAACCCTACCACAGTCTACAGCCATGCTAGCACAGCTCTGTAAGGCTGTAGGCACAGCTGTGCTTTGAGCTGAACGCTAATGTTACCATGTTAACATAACACGATAACAATGCTGTATTGTCATCATGTTCTCATTATATTTAAGTGTGTTAGCATGCTAACATTTGCTAATTAGCACTAAATACAAAGTGCAGCTGAGGCTGAGAAGAATGTCATACGTTTTGCAGGTAATTACTCATAAACCAAAGCACATAACATATTATATTTTGGACCTGACGGTTGCCCTAGATGAAAAGTCAGGGGATCACCAAAATCTGTGGACTTCAACCTCTGGAGACCATGAATGTCTGTATATAAATTCATGGCAATCCATCCAATAGTTGAGATATTTCACTTTGGGCTGACGTTGTGGACCAACCGGTAGATCGATTCACCCACTAAAAACCAGAGCCACTAAAAACTAAATCAAATTGATTGCAGATTTGACCTCAAACTTTTTTTTAACCTCCTTGCTTCCCTTCAGGGTCGATGCATCAACTTCACGAGAGTGAAAGAAGAGTCAGCGGCAGCCAAGGCCCCACCTCGCACCCCGATCCACACACCCTCGCCCCCGCCACCGGAGACCGCCTCCCCGTCTCCGACCGCCGCCAGCCCTCCCGCCAGATCACCCCCTTCAGGCCAAGTACCCCCGGGACC